TATATATAAGTTATCAAGCATGCAAGTGTACTGAATTAGGCAATAATGTGTAGGAAATTTCTGAAACCGAAGAGAACGAAATTGAAAGACAAAAAGAACGGGTGAAAGTTCTGTTAGCCCACACGCCAGATGATTCATTGCGCAAATTAAACCTTATTGATACAATCCAACGCCTTGGAGTGAGTTACCATTTTGAGAAGGAAATTGACACATCACTGCAAAACATACACGGCGCTTGTACATTGGAGTACAACCACAAAGATGATGATCTACGTGCTGTTTCTCTTCGTTTTCGATTGTTAAGACAACATGGTTATAATGTCTCATGTAGTAAGTACTCATGATTAAAAATCTCTCCCTCTCTCTCTCTTTGTCTATATATATTATGATTTCAATTGATTAGAAGAAAAAATATCTCTAAATAAGTACAATCGCATGATTACAGATGTGTTCAACAAATTCATGGACAATGAAGGCAATTTCAAAAACTCGTTACAAGATGATATTGAAGGTATACTAAGTTTGTACGAAGCAGCACATTTTGGAGTGCAAGAGGAGGATATTTTAGACAAAGCGCTAGAGTTTTCGTCCTCTACTCTAATTGAGTCAGTGCTGATCAATAAGAATATTCCCAAACCTCTTGCAACAAAAGTTAGTGAAGCACTAAAGATTCCACTGCACAAGAATCTCAATCGGATGGCCGCCAAAAAATTCATTTCCCTTTACAAGGAAGACAATTCGCAGGATCCTACACTCTTTAATTTTGCCAAATTGGATTTCAACATATTACAGAAGTTGCACCAAAAGGAGTTGAGTAGTATTACAAGGTTGGTTCGACCCGTGTGATATATATATATATATATTATCATTAGACTTGAGTTTTCTTTGCCAACTGCCATTTTGAGCTCTCATATATATGACGGCAAAACCGTCTGCAGGTGGTGGAAGGATTTGGATTTTGCAAATAGATTGCCTTTTGCAAGAGATAGATTGGTCGAATTGTACTTCTGGATATTGGCAATCCACTTTGAGCCCCAATTTCACATCGCTAGAAAATTCATGGTCAAAGTAATCAGTATAATTTCCGTTATTGATGACATTTATGATATTCATGGGACGTTGGACGATCTTCAACTTTTCGATGACGCCATTCAAAGGTACTTGTATATTTTAATTTCGTGTTCTGTGTTTTTCAATTCATTTTATTTATTGTTTCCACTTTCCACCAGATGGGATTTTGATGCCTCAGAGCTATTGCCACCATACATGAGAACATGTTACAATGCTCTTTTGGATGTTTATGCTGAAATCGAAACCGAAATTGGGATTAATTCTGGCACGACATATTGTGTTCTGTATTCAATGGATGAGGTATGTCATATATATATATATATATATATATATATGTATGTATGTATTTAATGAAAAGACATGCAAAATTTTGTTTCTCTATCAGGAAATGAGGCCTGTGTTTATTTGTAGGTGAAAAGATTGGTGAGGGCATACATGGAGGAAGCTAAATGGTTATACGCTAAGGATACGCCAACAATGGAGGACTACATGAAGGTGGCACTCGTGTCTTGTGGTTATACAATGTTGTCAATAACATCATTTGTCGGTATGGGGGATTTAGTTACGAAAGAGATATGCGATTGGGTCGTAAGCGAACCACGAATCGTGCAAGCATCATCAATAATATGTAGGCTAATGGATGACATGGTAGGGTATGGGGTAAGAAACATGTACAACTCTTATCTTAATAAAACTAGTGTTGATAAAATAAAAATATATATGTACAATATTTATTTAAAATAGCTTCCTTTATTTTGATGCAGAAAGAATCAAAGATTACAGCTGTGGAATGTTACATGAAACAAAACGATGCATCCGAGGCGGAAGCTTTTGCAGATTTTTGGGAACAAGTGAAGAAAGCATGGAAGGATATGAATGAAGAATGCCTTCAACCAGCAACACCACCTTCGCGAGTACTAATGAATGTTGTTAATCTTGCGCGTGTGATTAATCTTCTATACGTGGATGAAGATGGATATACCAATTCTAAAACCGAGACCAAATACTTTATAAACTATGTACTCGTCGATCCCGTGATAGTTTGAACGTGCATTCAACGAGTCGGAGTAATCAATTGTGTGGATGGAATCTATATGCTTTCTTTGTGATGACGTGAATGTATGAGAAACACTTTTATTTACTGCACGGATGCTAATTAAAAAATATATTATTAAGAAAGTCCGAAAAAATAAAAATATCATTTGTTATTTTAAAATTTTTAACATTTCTAAAAAATTATGAATATTTTATATGAATTGATTAATATGTGATTGTCAAATCAAAGTTTTAAATAATACTAATGTTTTTATTCATATATATATAAGTTTTAAATACCTTTTAATCAAGAATTTCAATCCATATAGCAATTTATTGCCTTAATGAAATCACAATATAAACGGTCTAATATTTACCAAATATAATAATAAATATAATGACACGCATTTCTTCCCTATAACAATAATTTCAAATGTATCACATTTTAATATATATATATATATATATATATATTTATTTATTTTTTTCGCCCGATATATTTTTTTCAGAAAAATCTCGTATCCAAACACAAACAAATAAAATCTATATTGATTCTTTATTGGGATAGAAACACACAGTTTGGGCTGTCTCAATATATTTACACGTGAATGTTAACATAAAAATGAAGTTTATAGGAATATTCATTGTTATTATTTACACATGAATAATGTCAACATAAAAATGAAGTTTATAGGAAATATTCATTGTAGGCCCAGAATGGGCCTCAGTCATCATGATGTCCTCCTCCGACCCACCCATTTTCATGGACGCAAATAGATAGACGTGCTATAGTCCATTTTGATCAACTATTACATTTACTTTCAAATCTCATTTTATTTATAAATTTTATTTCATTTTAAATAAACCAACTTATATAGTTTATGTATGAGCATTTTTAGTTTTTTTTGTTATTTATTTAAATTATATTATTTTTTGGTTTATTGTAGTATATAAATGGTTTATATTTTCAATGTCGTTTTTTTATAAAATAAATATAAAAAATATAGTGAACATGTAAGTGCTAAAGTTAACTTTTAATTAAATCAAAAGAAAACAAACAAGTTAACATACAACAAAATATCACTTATCGATCTAATACATCTTTAACATGAGCAAAATGCCCACTCTTTTATATATTGTACAGATGTATAACATTATACATATTTATCACACTAAAACAGTAATCAAATAAAAACAAACTATCAAACCAATTATCATTTTCTTCAGCAGTTTCAGATGGGTAATCAAAAGAATCCAAAAATTCCATCTGTGCACCAAGTGTACACTTAATAAAAAGCTCTCCAATTCCAAAACAATGATGAATAATAATATTAATAATTCATCATCCGCCCCAATTTTTTCCACCAATATTTCTTTGGAGGACGATCGTCGATCAGTGTCATATCATCCAACCATTTGCCGGGGAGATCATTTCTTACATATGACGCAAATGTTATGGTAAGATTGTATGTAATGCTATTTGGTTAATTATATACTCACTCCATTTTGTTTAATTGTTGTTTAGATTGATCGAATTATTTGTCGTTTTAAACTACTATTGCAATTATACGGAAATGCTCACATGCCCACGGTGAGCACATGTTAATATGTCCACCGCTGATGTGACATGCACACATTGATGATGATAATATGTTAAAAAAAATACGTCACCAATGTGTGCATGCCACATAAGCGATGGACATATTAACATGTGCCCACTGTGGGCATGTGAGCATTTTCCTGTAATTATATCTGTACAAAACAAAAATTTATAAATAGAAAGTATTTTGTGTGACCTATAAGACAGTTTTCCAAAAATAGTAAGTGGGTTTTCTTATTATATGATAGATAAATGTTAGAAGCAAGATAGTCATCCTCCACAAATAAATTGGTGGTACAAGAGAGGTTTGGCATTACTAGCCTAGCTTAGTAATACTATGTAAGCATTAAAGTTTTTCAAAAGATAGATGTTATGTTTGGTAGAGAAATAAACTAACTTATAGATTATTTGGTTAATTTATAAGTTTTTTTACTTAAATAAGCAACGTTTGGTATGACGAACTATTTTAAAAAGTTCGAATTTATCTCATAAGCTTCTTGGTAGATTTTCAAATAAGCTCGTTGAAAATTTTATTTTAACTAATTTTACCAAACACTTTTATCATATAAGCTAGCTAGATTTTCAATTATGAGTCATAAATTATAAGCTCGAAAATTACGAGCAAGCTATAAACTAACTTATCAGCTATCAGCTAACTTATCAACTCGTTTTACGAAACATAGCCAGAATCATGATAGTTTTGTGTATATAAGCTCTATAAATAGGTGATCTAAGATGATCCCATTGTTTTAGATCAACTCCAACCGTACCCTAAAACGCAAAATGAGGGAGATAAATTGATCCAACCGAACACCAAACTCAAACTCAAAATGCGTTTTGTTCACTCTCTCTCATCAAATAAACGCATATATGCGTTTCAACGCAAAATTTGCGTTTGTAATTTTCAAATTGCAATCTCACACCCATGTTTGTTATTAATTACATAATTGGACAATAATAGAAAAAAAAAGATAAATAATTCTTCAAATGAAGAAAATTAATTATCTAAACTTAGATAAGAAAATTTATGGGAGTCGTTCAGTATTCTAACAAATTTATTGCCTATGTAATATTGTATTCTGTTCATTATGATTTATTTACATAATTGTCATATTTATCTTTTTCTTTTTAAATATATTAACGTACTAATATTTATCCTTTATTTTTTCATAAATTAAATACTAACATAAAGAATATATATATAATAAATTTTCTTACCAATGAAAAATAACATTATAAACCATGAAATACAAATTAGATGTATATAATAAACTAAAATATGAAAAATATAACTGAAAAAATATGTATTCCAATATTTTACATATGTAAGAATTATCAATCTATAATAAATTATTATATATTTTTCAAATCAAATATAAAATAATATTGGATTAAATGTGTAGAATTATTAAATATGTGGGGTAGTATTGAAAAGTTATAAAACTTGATGTGTGAGAATATTCTTTTGGGTTGAAAATGAGTTTTTCGGTTGGAGATAAATTACTGCAAAATGTGACAGTTACTGCTAAATGGGTTTGAGTATGAGTTTTTCGGTTGGAGATGGCCTTAACACATTACAAGTCTTCTTTAGATAAACACCCAGTTCATTTTCGAATAAGTTTTTCAAGTTTTAAGATGTCAATGAATCCATTTTCTGCTCCTATTTCGTCCAAGAATGTTTCTTTGGAGGATGTTCGTCGATCAGTGTCATATCATCCAACCATTTGGGGAGATCATTTTCTGACATATGACGCAAATGTTATGGTAAGATTGTAATACTCTTTGGTTATTTATTAAATACTCACTCCATTTTGTTTAATTGTTTTTTAGGTTAGACTGATCGAATTAGTTGTGGTTTAAAACTATTATTGCAATTTTATATGTACAAAACAAAAAATTATAAGATTTTTATCCTTTTAATTTACATCAATATTAATCTTGATTCTCTAAGTATTATTAGGAATGAGATGCATACATACATGTAGAAGGTTTAAGCCAATTAGTTTTAGAATAGAACTCCAGTTGACTTGTATGTTGGGTTTGATGAAAAATTGAGCTTGAGTTGTTGGTCCTAATACTACATGTAGAAGGTTTAATAAAGATAATATTTCACCAACACATGAACTATATATTACTCTAAAAAAAAATCTATAGAACCATATTTACTATTGAGAAAGAGAAAGAGCAACGTTTTGTTATTAAATACATGTAAAATGGGTTAGGAGCATTATAGTTAGTCCGTTTAATCAAGATTTTTTTTTTTTCGGACCGTTAGTTTAAGCTTGTAAGGGAAAGCCAATAAGTTAAACCGGTTTGCACGGCAGACTGATTATACCAAATATATTTTTATTTAGTATATACATTAAATACTTACTAAAGTATTTATTTGTTTTATTTGTCAAAGTTAAAGTATAGATTTGTTTATATTATTAAATCATAAAAAAATATTAAATCTATATTGTAAAAAAAAATCATATAATTTTATAACAATTATACTACACTATTTAACAATTTTTTTTTATTATATAATAAAATAATAATTAAATATTATATGCTGAACAAGAATAAGTAAAACTGTTCCTTTATCTTATATCAAGGGATAAATTTATAGGCTAAAATTGAATTTTTATTAGTATAAATGTTTTAGTGAGATAATATATTAATTATTTTACAAGCTAGCCCTAATATGCTCATATTTAATATTTTAAAAGATGTAGAAAAAAACTTATAATAACTCTATTGTTTTTTAGACTTAAACGTTGATTAACACCATAGATTGAGAATCTATATTAGTAAAATTTCTAATTGTAATAAAAAAAATAATTTTTGCTATATTTTAGAATATTTTTAAATTCATTATAAAAAAAAAACTACAATGAAAAAAGCAAGTAAGTTATATATCGATTTGTTGTACTCCTCAAATTACATTCACAATTTGGCTACAAGGAAAGGAAACTCATTGATTAAAATATTATTTTGTCAGTAGTCTTAATGTACATAAGACTTTAAGACTTCACTTGAATATTATAAAACTTTTATTGAACATTGTACAATTTTCTTGCGTATTATAAACTTTTATTCAATATTACATCTTATAATATAATATTCTCCAAATAAATATATCCCGTGCTTCGCACGGGTCACGTACTATATATATCCCGTAAATTTTTCTTTATTCATATATATAATTATAAGCCTGGATAAATAGCCATAAAATTGTGCACCCCGTGCATCGCACGAGCTCTGTACTAGTTAAAATTATAAGATATGATATTTATTAGTGTATTACTAATTTGCCATTAAAAACATGTTAAAGTAAGGGTTTTTTAGGTAATTCATTTTTTTAATTAAAAATATAAATTAAATATTGTATTACTGTATTACTAATTTGCCATTAAAAATATGCCAAAGTAAGGTTATTTTATGTAGTTCATATTCTTACAAAACACTCGTCCTTTTAGAGTAGAAGCTATAGATATAGATAGATATAGATTAAAAGAAAACAAACAAGTTAGCGTACAACAAAATATCACTTATCGATCTAATACATCTTAACACGAGCAAAATGCCCACTCTTTTAAATGTTGCACAGATGTAACACCATACATATTTATCACACTAAAACAGTAATCAAATAAAAACAAAATATCAAACTAAATATCATTTTCTTGAGCAGTGTTTCATATGGGTAATCAAAAGAATCCAAAAATTCCATCGGTGCACCAGGTTGATTGCCAAAGACTTTAAATGCCTCCTAAAAGTCCGTCTCAAACTATAACAATTGAATACACATTTGAAGTAATAAAGAGCTCTCCAATTCTAAAACAATGATGGATAATAATATTAATAATCCATCATCTGAACCAATTTTTTCCACGAATATTTCTTTGGAGGATGTTCGTCGATCAGTGACATATCATCCAACCATTTGGGGAGATCATTTTCTTACATATGACGCAAGTGTTATGGTAAGATTCTAATCTTTGGTTAATTACTAAATAATAACTCCATTTTATTTAACCGTTGTTTTAGGTAAGAATGATCGAATTATTTGTCGTTTTAAACTACTACTAGTACAATACCCGTGTATTACACGGGTGCTGAATTAGAAAGTTTTTGTAAAAAATATTAGATTTTTTATTTTTTTAAAAACTAAAATAATTTAATTTTATATAAAACATTACTTTGAGTTTTAATTAAATTGTCAAATTATATTTTTTAATCATAATTAAATAAAAATGTCAACCCGTGTTGAATTTTTTTTACTTATATCATATAAAAATATCGATATTATTTACTGTTACATAAGTACAAAAATATATGTCTTAAATAAATAAAAATAATATGGTGATACGTATATGCATAAGTGTAGAATATGTTTATTTAATATTAAGCAAAATAGATTAATTTTTTTACCTACATTTAATATATATATTAATTGATAAAAAAATTTATTTTCTAATTAATTTTAATAAATAAGTTTATTATTATTATACAGATAAATATAATTTATTTATTTTATATATACAATATGAATGTCAAATCGAAGCTCATCAAGATGATTAATTTGATATATTATATATGTAAACCGATAAAAAATACAAAAGTTATCAACTTTTAAAATATATTTTCAATTCAATGGTTATAATAGGAAATGATATTAAAATACAATTAATACAAATATTAATTTATATCCAAGCCTAACTCAAAACATGATTTTTTTTTCCAAATAAGACTCTCAAGCATGAGAGTTTGCCACGTAGGCTCAACGCATTCTGATATTATATATAGAGAGGATTGCAATTATATCTGTACAAAACAAAAATTTATAATTTAAATTTACCATAAAATAATCTTCATTCTCTAATAAATATATGGTGTTGAAGATTTAATAAAATATAACATTTGGTGAGCACATGAACCATTACTTCTTTTTTATTTTTAATTTTTTATAGAAGCATATTTATTTTTGAGAGAGAGAAGTACAATTTTGTTCTTAGATACATGTAAAATGGACAGTTTTTCTATGGAACCATCAGGTGGTACGACTTATGAAGTTATCCACACTTATTCACAAATAGTGTATTGACACATGTCCTACAATTAATAAATACACTCTGAACATGTGTCAATACCTTAAGTGATGCATGACTCCATAAAAAATTATTCCATGGCTCCAAGTGATGGATGACTCCATAAGAAACTGGTAAAGTGGATTAGGAATTTTATATTTAGGCCCGACGAAATCAAGACTTTTTGTCTGATAAAGGACCAAAGTCAAAAGTGGGGCTGGAAAAAATCAATTTTGGTCCGTTTATTTGTCTAAAGTCCTTTTTTAGTACACTAATTTTCTCCTCCTCAATAATAGTATGTTATGTTGCAATTTGTATCATTATTGAAACATTATCGTGAAAATGGTTCATTTTTTTATGGATTAGTGTCCTAAAAATGATACAAATTGTAACATAAGATACTGTTTTTGATGAGTAATGTACCAAAAAATGATACAAATTACAACATAGCGTATTATTATTGATGAATGAAAAGTTAGTTTTAAGAACTTTTAAAATTATATACATATATATATATATATATTATTTTTTTCATATAAATATATGTAAAAGTAATAAATGAATGTTTTATATATAAATTTTGTACATCAAAATATTAATATTATTGTATCTCATAATAAATATTTTTACGTATAGATATGTATACATAGTTTGGATTTTAAAGTAAAAAAATATTTTAAGAAACAAAAAAAAAAAAGTTATCTTGATCGGGTCAAACCAGGTTGACCAGACTAGATCGATATCCAAGTCGGCCGGGTCAATGCCGAATTGATCGGGTTTTGACTGAGTCTATTGTCACCCTGCCCAAATCACGGCCACTGGACCGATTCCAGCTCCGAGTTGACCGGGTCTCGGGTTGACTCGCCGGGCCGGGCCGAGTTAAAAAACAATGCAAAAAACTAATTTTACCCGTATATATGATACTATTTTCAACAATATATGAGACTTGTATATATTGTGTAATTGGTTAACATCTTCTTTTGTAGGAAACCTCAATTGGCGAAGAGCAAGAACACAGACGAAAGAAAGAACTAGTGAAGGCAGTGCTTGATCACACACACGATGGCTCGTTGCCTAAGTTAGAACTCATAGATTCAATCCAACGGCTTGGAGTGTGTTATCATTTTGAAAAGGAAATCGACACATCATTACGAAATATCCACAACACTTTCCTGAAGTGCGATGGCCAAGACAAAGATCTTCGAGTTGTTGCTCTTCATTTCCGTTTACTCAGACAACATGGCTATTATATACCCTGCGGTGCGTATTCAATATTATATAGGTCAGTTGTAAATGTATTTTTTTACAAGCTAAGTTCTTTTAATCGTTAATTTTTTTTTATTCATTAGTGCAGATGTTTTCAACAAATTTATAGACCATGATGGAAATTTGAAGGAGTTGATGAATGATGTTGAAGGGATGTTAAGCTTGTATGAGGCAGCACATTTTGGAGTACAAGGAGAGGAAATTATGGACAAAGCATTACGAATTTCGTGTTCTAGCCTTAAGTGTTTGCCACATGACACGAACAAATCTCTGTCTGCACAAGTCAATGAAGCCCTTAATAGCCCATTAGGCAAGAGTGTGACAAGGTTGGCAGCCAGAAAATATATTTCTATGTACCAAGAAGATGATTTGCATAATGAGGTACTTCTGAATTTCGCCAAATTGGACTTCAACATAGTTCAAAAGATGCATCGTAAAGAGCTACGCAACATTATGAGGTTAGATTGCACATATTATGAGAGGTTTGATTTAATTATAATGTTGTATTCTTCTTTCTTAGTACAAATTTGATTTTTTTTTTCTTTTCTTTTTCTGTATGGAAAATGAATCTTACTCTAGGTGGTGGAAGGATTTAGACTTTGCGAATAAATTGCCGTTTGCAAGAGATAGATTGGTGGAATGCTACTTTTGGATAGTGTCAGTGTATTTCGAGCCCTCATTACACATTGCTAGAAAACTACTGACCAAAGTCATAGCCTTGGCTTCCACCATTGATGACATTTACGATGTTCATGGAACGCTTGACGAGCTCATTGTTTTCACGAGCGCTATTCAAAGGTTTGCTTTCTAGAGATTTTTTATGTTGTCAAGTTACAATACAACATATTATATATTTCAATATATTTGTTTTAAAATGAAATTTATCTATGTAATTGTGTATCACCAGTTGGAATGCTCAGGCCATGGATCAATTGCCTACATATATGAGAACATGCTACAAAGCGCTTTTAGATGTTTATGCTGAAATGGAAGAAGAAACGAAAAAGGCAGGCACATCATATAGAGTACAATACGCCAAGGAAGATGTACTAACTCAGATACACCTCTTTTATTACAACTACTACTACTATCTGATCTGATGTTTATATTTTGTTCTTCTTTGGGAAATTTGCAGATGAAAAAATTAGTGAAGTCATATATGGAAGAAGCGAAATGGTTTTATAATAAATATACTCCGACAATGGAGGAGTACATGAAGGTGGCACTAATATCTAGCGGTTATATGATGTTATCGACAACTTCCTTGGTCGGTCTTGGAGATTTAGTGACTCGTGAAGACATTGACTGGGTTTCAAACGAGCCAGTAATCGTACAAGCATCATCTACAATTGCTAGGTTAATGGACGACATAGCAGGATATGGGGTATGTAAGAAATAACAATATATACAATATTTATCTTATCAAAAACTAATTAGAGAATATGATATGAGAAACTAACTTTTGATTTGCTTTGTTACACTTAGTTTGAAACAAAATTGTCGGCAGTGCATTGTTACATGAAGCAAAACGGAGTTACGGAGATTGATGCGGTTAACGAACTTGAAGAACAAGTGGAGAAAGCATGGAAAGATATAAATCTCGAATGCCTTGGGCCAAAGAAGGTCTCTTGGAGAGTCATCAAGAACGTTGGCAACCTTGCGCGGCTGATAAATCTTGTGTATGCAGATGAAGATGGATATACCAATCCCAAAGCTAAGGTGAAAGACTACATTACGTGCGTGCTGATAGAGCCCGTGACAATGTAATTACCATACATCATATTGCTGCAAAATTCTCCACACAACAAGTATATTTCCAGCTACGAGCAGAATTTCAATAAGAATATTCAATTTATACTACTCAAATCCCAAATTTCATGGTAGAATTTCCATTAGAAAAGAAAAACTCTGTCCGAGCAGAGGCCAATAAATGAAGGTGACATGACTAAATTGGCATGAATTACATAATCAACTAATATCTCTGGTTATGAAACTATACACATGGACTGCACTGAATTTAGATAGGCTGTCCAAAAATGTTAAGCAAACTGAAGTGTGTGGAGAATTGATTAAAACATGAATGGTGGTGGAGCAAATGCAGTTAATATTGGGAATTGCTGACGTCGTCCTATCCTGCAACACATTAGAAACATCTTTAGTTTTTACAAAAAAATTGATGACTAAAAAGGGGAAAATAGATCTGCAACTGTTGATGACATCGTGAGTTTGCAATTTCAGTGTCACATATTATCACTTTTTTCTTTTTTTTTGGGTGGGGGGATATACAATTTATTGGCAGATATCAAAATAATGTATATATATACACCCATGAACAAAAACAAAGAAGAAAAATGCTACATGTACATAATAAATGTACGTAGAGGTGTACATAATATTCACATGGAGTGGGGTCCACTTAATTTTTTATTTTTGATAAGTCTCACTCAATATGAGTGTTATGTCTACCTTTATGTAGAATATTTTGTACATGTAGCATTACCCGACAAAAAATATAATAGAAATAACAAATATGTATTAAATTGAAAAAGTATTATGGGTCAAACGCGTAACTGTTTATACTGACTCACATAACAAGTCATAACTGGACTTTGTGATTATAGTAATATTTCTCAAACAAGAAAACTAAACCTTCATTGTTATTCAATCGGGACTAAGAACTTCTCCCAATACTTGAGTCTATTGAAAAAAAAAAAGTGTAATGTGATGAAGAATTTTGGATCTTTTGAGTAAAAGCTAGTATTGTAAGACATGATCTAGATCTAATGTTTCCCCACAATAAATCTATCATAATTACTTGGCTTCAAGTTATTTTAGACACCTTAAAATGAAATTGCATAGATCTATTAGTTCTTGTATTTCTCTACATTATTCGAAACCTAAGTTTATTATACTGACAATTTGACAAAATTAGATTTTAAGGAATTGTGGGTCAAAAAGTTTGTCCGGCACCATGGGCCACCTTTTAGCCCATCGGGTCAAACCGAAACAGTAAAGCACAAAAAGACNTTATCTTCGCATGAATCAAGAGGAGACGACCTATCTCTATTCAACATCATCGCCACCTTCCTCTTCAGCCTCCTCCGCCACACCTCCGCCGTCCTTTCGACACTATCCTCCGATATCGACGACAGTGACGGCCGCCACCTCCGGCGGCCGCCCCTCATCCTCCCCCTGCTGCACCGGCGGCGGGTTTCAGGCACCGCCACCAATCCTCTCCTCTCCGTCCTCGACCCACAGCACGTGACGAACTCCGCGAAAAACCTCATCGTAATCGGGGCTTATGATATCAAGAGAGAGTGGGGAAAATGATATTGAGAAACATCTAACTGATTATTTGTTTTTCATTATTGATTTGGTATTCATGTTTTTTCTATCTTTGCTGGACTATGATTGCGGGCAAATATGATCCTTTTTTGTTCTTTTTTTAGTAAATTAAGAAATGGGGATTATGGATAAGTTGGGCCGGATTTTGCGGGTAACATGAATTTTCCGATGGATCTGAGTTGTGGACGGTTTGATTTGAATCTTAATGAAATTATGTGGCGATTAATGATTTGATTTGATGTGGTGTAGCTTGTTGTTCTTCCTAATTTGTCGGGAGTACTTTGACGTTATCCTAT